CATAACTGGACATAATAGTTCTGCAGCTATTCCACTACTGCAATACTCATTATTTAATGCTGCTACGTGCATGTGGCATTCCCCAGTCCACATGCAAGGATCCCATCAGCCCACTGGGCGGCAAAAAGTGGGTGCTCCTGGACAGCCAATATCCCTAAGACACTGGCAATCCCAATTCCTTCTCCAAGCCCTTCTGGCAGCACAAGTGCCTCAGCCACAAGGCACAGGCTGCTCTATTTGTTTCTCTCTATATGATCCTATTAAACACTTGTGCCTAGCTCAAAGGGCAATTCCAATTGATCTGCAGCAACAACAGGCTCCCTATGTGACTTCCATTCCCCAGCCTCTGTGGCACAGCCCACCTGCAGAAAATATTTTTCTCCTCCAACACATGGATGAAGTATTGCCTATCATATGGGCAAAATCTGATCTGTGAGGCCACAACAGCAGTGCTCCATCTTTAGCACATTTGCTTACAGCTCTATTTTCAGAGATAGCAGATAATTTTTGATTTACTAAATAATGCTCTACTGTATTTATGTTTAATATGCCTTATACAAGTCTACACATATTTCAAGAAAGGACCTTAAGCTATGTCAAGACAGGGCATTATTAGCCTTTTCACTTCCCATATTGGGAAGCCCATTACACATAAAGAGGATGCAGCCTTCACTTGAAGAGACAACTGCTCAGAGGTAAAACTATGAAAAAAAGCCAATCTCCTGACTCTTGATTAATGGCTGTACTCACTACACAGTGTGACCTTCAGACCTTTCCAAGAAGTATCCACCTGTGGTAAAGAAATTAGGAAAATGAAAGGACATTTCTGCATCAATGCTTCCTTTCAGCATTGATTGGAACAGAAAACGTGTCACTGCTTTGACAGAAAATGTTGGAGAGAGAAAAGGCCTACTTTGCAATCTGTTTATTTGCATATACAGGTCAGGAAAAGACAATTCTCCCTTCTTTGTGTGCTGGACTTTCTTGAAAGTTTAATGATTATGTTTATCTAGAAGTTAAACTTCATGCAAGGTTTCTCAGAGTCAATCTTTGATTCAAGTGCTTTCACAGAACACCCCACACAATGAATGCCATTCCACAGGCAGGTGCAAGTAAACAGCATTGACTTCAGCTTTCAAGCATGTTATCATGGGAAAAAAAACAACCTATTTCGGGAAACAAGCAAAAGAGCTTAAAAATCACAGGTGGAAAAAGAATAGACAAAAACATTACTAAAAAGTACAAATGCTGTAGTGAATGATTTAAGTAAAAACTAAAGGTTTTCCTTTATGATTAAACAAGCAGGCAGCACCAGAAGCAAAGAATACACTTTTCCCACCTACAATACAAGATTTGCTGTCACATGATAACAGGGAGGTTAGACATAGACAGACTCCAAAGAAGATTAAACAAATCAGTGGGGGACAGATCCATTAGCAATTACAAAGCAGGATGGTCCCAAATCCAGCTTTGGACAGTCCTTTACTGCTGACTGTCAAGAGAAGAAGGGACCCTTCCACACCCAGCTTTTCTCTTGTCATTTTGCTCCCATCATCTGCTATAGGAGCCCGGATCAATAGCTGCGAGGCACGAAAGATGGCCATTTTTGTTTCCACAGAAAAATTAAGCCTCCTCAGAGCCATCAGAAATCCTGGGATAACGGATAGGAAAGCGTCAGGAACTCGGCGAGCGTGAGCCTGGAGCGCCCTCTGCGGGAACCAGGCGGGGGTACTCCCTCGGACGAGGCCGGGACCAAGGCACAAAAGTCCCTAAGGAAGGGAAGCCACGGTGAGGATCAAAGAGCCTGCAGTCACCCGGCAGAAAGGAATGACTTCTCCTCCTCTTTGTCCTATTTCTCCCACAGCAAAGCCTTCTAAAATTTTAGAAGTTAAAAAAAATACTTGCTTTGGGAAATGATCTTTCTTCTCCATTAATAGTGAGGGAGCAGTGCTGAGACGGGGATGCCTTGACATTACAATAATCACCTAACAAAGATAATTCATTGTGTACACCCCATAACTTTGGTCCAAACATTTCCCAGTGCAGAAGCCTGGCTCTGGTGCCACAGGAGGAAAGCTGGGAGGATGCCATGTTGCAAAGGCCCTCACAAACTCACAGCATTCGCAGCAGCCAGACCAAAGCTTTTCTCCCAGCAAGCCAGAGCTTGAATAGGACCTGCTCTTTCCCTGCTTCTGGCTGCCTGTCCCCTCCCCAGCCAGATTCCCATGGAACAGAAGAACAAAGCCACATGTGCTGCAAAAATATTCCCGGAGGGAGCAAACCAGGAGAAGGCTCAGCTACCAGAGAGAACTAAAGAGATGACATTGGGGCAAATTTCACACAGAACAGAATTAACTAAAAAAGGGAGCTTCTCTCTCTGCGTGTGTCTCTGTCCGCAGGCCTGAAACAATGCTTGTGGTTTGGGTCGTGCTGTGTTTAATTTCATGCCATTACCAAGGCGCTGGGAGCAGGAGTCATAACCCTTCTGTTGCAACCAGAGAAAAACATGTGTGTCATAAACATGGCTCCCCTTCTCAGACTTGAACCAACACACAGGAGCACCTGCAGAACCTGCATACAGAAAATTAGGAAGAAAATTTTGAAGCTGCCTGTGTATCTGCACTGAGTCAGTTTAGGGAGTCACATTTTCTCAGCCAAAAAAAAACAAGACACGTGGCTTGAGTGTACAGTCACAGATAAACGTGAACCTGGGATAACAATTAACTGCTTCCTAAAGAACAAGGATTATTTACAGAAATTATCTGGTGAAAAGTTTTAGCACTACCAGTTTTAAGAATGCTGCAGACAAATTCTAAACAAAAGGAAAGCAGCAGATGCAATGAACTTTAACATTTCTGAAAGCAGGTATTTCCACTGCAGTTTTCAAGTCCAGTGAAGGCTGAAAGAAATGACTCTGATGAAACCAAACACTGACAAGGCCCAACCCAAAGACATCACACAAACAGATTATCAACCTTTCTTTCCAGCAGAAGGAAAGGATCTGGACAACACTTTGTGCACAGGTTGCACACAGGACACAGCTCCTGGAAGCAGCATCAGTCTACAGCCATGTCCTGCCAGGTGCTGCTGACTAGCTGGATTTTGTCCGCACGGCTCTCCTGTCACAGGAGCCTCCCCAGCACATCACAAGCAAACTCTCCATTGCCCACAGAGCTCCATTCCTGAATCATTATAATAAACTTCCGGTCTTCTGCAATAAATGTGCGAAAAATGTGCCTTCATCGTAAGTTGAGTGACACAACAAATAAAGTTTTGCCAGGGACAATTCTGGGTAATGCTGTTTACACTCAATTTTTGCACCAGGGTATGTTAACTGGTTTCAAACACAGCACTGCCCTCCAGTTTGGGCCAGCAGAGATGCTTTTACAAAACTCTGGTATCTGGGCTAAATTAACAACATTCTTAAGCATTGGCCAGCCCAGCTTCCACTCTACACAATAGGCCTTTGTTTTGAGCCTGGCACTGCATGGGGTGAAGAACCAGAGCACAGCTCCAGAGGAAGCCTCACCAGCAGATATTTTGACTTGCAGAATACACAAGTTTTCCCTGATTTCAATGCTCCCATTGCATCCATGAACTAATTGGGATTTGAAGGTTGGAAATACTCTCTTGGATCATCCAGAGCAGAAATACTGTTGACAATAACAAAGCAACTATTGCTGGCTCCAACTGGCAAAATTATTCCTTGGAGCTCTATCTTCAGACTTAACCAGTACAGAATGATTATGTTTAACCCAGACCAGGCAGAGAGCGCCCAACTTTTCTGGACACAAGTGTCAGCACTATGATTTAGGGCCCAGCAGATTCTCCATGAGGTGCTGCTCATGGCCCACACCAAACCAAGACTCTGGTTCTAAATATTCTTCCTCTCCCTGACTTGAGAGGATGTCTATGTTGCAGCTGTGCTGATTCCCATTAAATGCTCTGGAACCCCTCATGGATTTCAATAGCACCCTTTTCTTCAAAGGGCACAACAGAAGCACAGGTTGTCTTTGTCCTTAAATTTCTGTTTAACTTTTGCCCATTACAACAGGTAAACAATTGAAGAAATGACTACTAGACTGAAAACAGGTTTAAGCTTCTGGAACTCATAAATAGACAAGATATGAAGACCATTTCACCTCCAAAAGTTAACACAGGCTCCAAAAGAAAACAAATTCTTAGAAGGTAAAAAAAACCTCCAAACCAATCCAAAATAAAAACAAACAAAAAACCCACCTTGCAAATCCCAAGCCCTCCTGAGGACTAGTAAAGTTTCCTTGCTAGGATGGCCCATGTGCTGAAAGTGAAAGCTAGGCTACTGTCAGAGCAAGTGTCACCATGTAGATCTTAAGCTCTTCCATAGCAGTAGGAACACTGGGGAACATGGAGTTTTAACTTCGCCATGTATGGCTGTCCTTTGTATTCTTACAACTGACAGTCACATTTAATTCCAGCCCAGGTCAGAACTTACCTTTCAGTTTCCTGTATTTGTCCAGAAACCACCATGGAGCCATGAGACAGATGGTAGGTGCTACTTCCTACCAGCAAGCACTCGACCGTCAGGCTCTCTGGATTCCATTACTGTTTTCCTACTGCTGCAGGGTTCTGCTGGCAACCTCTGCACAATGTTCAGATTCCTGTATGCACTAAGCCACTGGGATGTAGCAGTAGATGTTTTGAACTTCTCAGGAGTCCTTACATTAGCAGAACTAAGGAAAGCAAAGCCACATCCTTCCATCAATGGCAATTGATTTCTGTGTAATTAAGGGATACATCAGCTTGCAACATCCCTTCCTCTGAGGCAGGAGGCAAAGGTTACTAGCATCAGCTCCAGATCACAAGGTTTGAACCACCCCCATTCTAGAAGAAGTGATCTGATTTCCTCATCACTGCAGCCTCACAACATACAGGATGCCTTCACAGCAATGCCCTGATTGTATCAGGTTGTGTAACTCACACATCCAAGCCTGCCCCCACCACATTCCCCACATTCATACCTCTGTTTCAGGCCGTGGAATAAATACTGGGGGTCTCATCTTCAGGGTCAGGTCCTGGAAGTCCCACTCTCCAAGCACGTACTGCACTGGCATCCTGCAGCAGGGCAAGAGGAGGGTGAGCGCTTTGGGACTGTGCTGGGTGACGATGGGCGCCCTCATGCCACGCTTTCCTCACTGCTAACCACAACCCCTGCCCAGGACCAGCAACTGCGTGAGCAACGTGCATGTGCATGCTGAGGGAACAGGGGGAGCTCCCTTCCCACAGCTCAGTTTGTTATCAAGCACTAGAATTGGGAACTACTTCAGTCAGCCTCACTTTGATCCTGGGGAAAGTGATGGAACAGAGTCCTCGAGGCTATGTCCAAATATGCCAAGTGCAGGAAGGTGATTGAGACTGGTCAGCATAGATTTACAAAGGGGAAATCACTCCTGAATGAGCTGAGAGTCACCCATGACACAATGAACTAGTTAGGTGCACCAAAACCACATCTTGATTTTCCCTAGGGCTCTGACACTGTCTCCCATAACATCCTTAAATACAAGCTGATGCACTACAAACTGAATAAACGAGGTGGGCTGGAAACCTGACTGAACAGTCAGGCTTGGAAGGCTGATTTCAGCAACACAAGGCTCAAATGAAGGCTGATTCCTAGTGAAATACCCAGGATCAATATCCCGTAACATCCTTACTGGTCTGGGTGAAGGGAAAGAGCACCCTTGGCATGCCTGCAGTGACAGAATTAACTGGGAGGAGTAGCTAATAGACAAGATGGGTGTACAAATTTTCAGAGAGACCTCTGGAGAAATGGGCTGACAGGGATTTCATAAAAATCAACAAGGAGTAATATAAAATCATATAAATGGTGGAGGATAATAACCCCATGCACCAGTACAGGCTGGGGCCTGACCAACTGGACAGTGGCCATGCAGGTGTACAAGTTGTGCCCCTCATTTGAATCACCATGAGAGACCACCACAGCACAGCTGACATCTGAGCTTCCTTCCCTCTGCTGCCATTCTCCTGGCAGCTTTTAGGCTGAAGGAAAGCTCTCCAATGGAACAGGTACAAGAGGATGCTCCTACCTTTGTAGCCGCTTGTAGCTCAGCTGCTGGATTTGCTCCTGCTGCAGTGCTGTAAGTGGAGTGTGGAGGCTTTCGGAATCCAGACTCTGAAACTGAAGACAAAATCACTTTAAAACCTGCCCACCTGTGCACTGGAGGGTCCTCTGCCACAGGCATCCTCCAGGTGACACAGGATGCTGACAAACACAATTGCCCGGCACTGCTAGAAACCAGCTGGAGAGCCATCAGAAGAACTTATCTGCATGTTTAGAAACAAACCTTTACAACTGTTCTTCTGCTACTTTTTGGGGTTCACCAGAATAATTAAAATTAAGAATCACTTCATCAGGCAAGTCAGGGTGGATATTTATGTTACACTTCAGTGTCTGCAAAAGAGATCTTTTAAGAGTCTCCTGAGTGTTCTACTGGCAATAATAAACTACCCCTTACCCCCTGTGCCATCTAAGGGAGGATAAGTTGTTTTAATCCCTCTAAATGAGATAAAAAGATAAGAGATTCAATCAAAATGAAAAAGTGAGAAGCACATACAGACTTTACTCTTTTCCTATTACTTAACTGTTTTTGCTCCCAGGACAAACGACACAATATATTGACTGGATTCTTGTGCTTCGGGGATGCCATTTGTCTCGAACACCTTCTGCCAATAGTGGACCACGTCAGTGGCAGTCATGAGCCCAGGTCCTGCACTGCAGCTCTGCCTCAGAAACAGCTGCTTTGGACTGAGGACAGCACCTTTCCTTGGAGTCCCTCGCCCTGGCACACACTGAGGTGGGAGGCTCAGCAACTTCCTGAGCAGTGGATGGGTGAGGCATCTCATTGTGGTGAAGTTGCTGGCTTCCACACCCGTTCCTGTTGCCACCTACTGATCTGTCAGTGCTGAGATTCACCTGGTGCTACCACAGGTCACTGGCTAAGCACCAGCTGACCACAGTCAGTGGGTTCTCCACAGGACAGCATTTGCAGCTCTTCTAGGCTGGAAAACAAGACAAAAGAAGAGCATCAGTTCCTCAGGCTACAAAATAACAGGTTCCCCTCTGATAGAATGCAGAGTGCTTGCCATAATCCCAGCCCACAAGCACAAAACCAATTACTCACACCTTACCAGTAAAAAAGGACTACCCGCAAAAAAGACTCACATGACAGCCAACCAGCTAAGCCCTGCAACCAGCTTCTTCCCAGAGCTGCCCATCTCCAGAGGTCAGAGGCCAGTCTGTGGCCATGGCAGGGCAGAAACGAGCTGCCCACACACAGGCACAGCTCTCCTGCCTGTCCTTGGTCCCAGAGAGCCACTGAGACACCAACCTTCAGCTCCAGTCCTTGGCTCTCCAGCCCACACATGGGTCACCTTGGTTTCCCTGTAGGAACACCTTCAGTCTCTCCTAGATTATTTCTTCTATTCCTCTCTCTGTTCATAAACCACAAATCATAGGTTGGCAGGGATGCTCACAGAAGACCTGGACTTAATGGATCAAGGGTTTCACACGGTTACCATCCCCAGAGGGCAAACAAGGGGGCACAGAGCCAGAGCTGAACTGTTAAGAGCAGAGGAAGGAGAAAACCTCACAACGTAATAGAGGGAAGAGAAACACTTGAAAGATGGAAAGGCCAGAAAGGGCAAACACTGCTAGAGGGAAGTCAGTCTCTTAAAGGAGAGAAGAGGCAGAGCCAGACAGAGAGGGAATAAAAACAAATAAGATGACTGCAGGAGACAAAGGAAATGAAACCTTACAAAACAGCTGCTGCATATCACACTTGGAACTGTTTGAGACAAACAGAACAACAACCACATTTTCCTGCTGTGATCCATGAGAAATGAGGGCCCCTCTCTTTTCTGACTCACACTCCCTGGAGCAACTATGGGCTTCCCTGAGCATTCATTGCCATTCCTCTATTGATGGACACTTTTCAACACTGTCTCAGAGAGGCCACAACCTCCTCTACTCAAATTTCTCCCAAAAATCATCACTCAAACAACTACTGAGCAGCTGGCAGCTGCCCCCTAGGAATGCTGCTGCAGGGAAAGCCGGGGAGACCAACTTGGCTCCAGCCTGGCAGTCACTGGTACCACAGTCCTGCTCCTGCTGCACAGGGAAACCCGGGAACAGTCAGGCCTCCACTGCCCTCTTTGTAAAATCAAACACAGCCCAGGGAAGCAGCAGAAGGAATACCCTGCAGCAAAAATCTCCAGACTGTCTTACCTCCAACCTCCTGGCAAAGGGGTGGATGCTCTAAGAGCCCAAGGATCCCGTTTTTACCATCTGCATTACTCTCAGCAGAGAGATAAACAGCCCCCATGAAAACTTGCCTTTATGTAAAGTCTGTCAGCTACAGTATCTATTTGGGAAGCTTCCCACACCAAGGCCCTGTTTACAAGAGAAACACTAAAAGAATAAAACATTAACAACCATTAGCGTTCTAAGGGAGGCAGAAAATACTTTAATTGGCCTCGGCTGAAACAATTTGCACAGAAACACAGAATTGCTGGGGTTAGAAGGGACCTTTGGAGATCAATTAGTCCAACTTCCCAACCAAGGAAGGTGACACAGGAACATGGCCAGGTGGGTTTGGCATATCTCCAGAGAGAGAGACTCCATGAGCCCCATGAGCAGCCTATTCCAGTGCCCTGCCACCCTCAGTGTAAATAAGCTCTTCCTGATGTTGAGGTGAAACTTCTTGTGTTTTACTTTATGGTCATTACACCTGATCCTGTTGCTGAGCATCACCCTCTTGACAACCTCCTTTGAGATCCTCTCTCATTTCTCTGGACTAAATAGGTCCAGCTCCTGCAGTCTCTCCTCGTAAGACACATAGTTCAGACCCTTCATCTCTGTTGCCCTCTGCTGGACCCTCTCCAGTGGCTCCTTGTCTTGTCTCCCTTAGTAAAGGAGACCAGCTACTTATGTAAAATCCCTGCATGGTACTTCTTGGTACATATACCTGTCTGCACACAGGGAGGAAGCAGATTTCCCTTTTCCCTCTGCAGTTCCTGGTTCGGTCCTTTCAGCCCCAGCTCCCACTCCCTGCAGCCTCACAGGGGCACAGGTGGCTGTGGAAAGGCCCGGCCACTCGCACTCTCGGCCCTGCCCCACTCACAGGCTTGAGCAAGGGCTGGAGCTCGCACTGTGCAAGCTGCTGTCAGTGTCCGGCCGAGCCAGCGCCGCACAGCCCCGCGACCGCATCGGGGACTGTGGCGGTGAAGGAGCCGAGTGAGCAGCGCCGGGGCCGGAGGCGCTCCCGTTCCAGCCCCTCAGCTGCCGCTGCACACGCAACACCACGGGCACGGCCGGGGCCTCCCTTCACCTGAGGGGCGACAGCGGGCCCGGGGCTGCTCTGAGGCGAGCGCGCGCACAGCGACGCCTCACCTCACGGCTCCCCGCGCGGCGGGGGGCACCGCCGGCTTCCTCGGGGGCGGGAGCCCCACCGGCTCCCCGTGGGGCTGGGGGCACCGCTGGCTGCCTCGGGGCCCGGGGCCGTGGGCAGCCGCCTCCCGTCCCGCGGCAGGCCCGTGGGCAGCCGCCTCCCGTCCCGCGGCAGGCCCGTGAAGGAGCAGCCGCGCACTGAGCCGCTCCCGAGCGCACCGCCGCCGTCGCCGCTCCGACCATGAGTGACAGCCGCGCCAACCAATCGTGAGCCTCGCCTGGCGAGCTCAGACCAATGGCCTGGGGCGGCGTGCGGCGGGGCGGGGCCAGCGGCGGTGCGCGCGGAGCCGAGCGGCGCGGCCCGGCCCGGCCCCCGCGCCCCGGGCGCGGCCCCCGGCGGCCGCTCCGCCCGCGCCCCGGGGCACCGGACGCCGCGGCGGCAGCGCGCAGTAAGTGCCGGCCCGGCCGCCCGGCGAGGGGGGCGCTTCCAGGGAGGGCCGGGGTGGGCCGGGCCGGGCCGCGCTGCGGGGGTGTCCGGCTGCGCCGTCCCGTCCCTCCCGCGGGCACTGCGCGGCTGCCGCGGCCTCTCGGGGTCCGGTCCGCCCGGGGCGGAGCGGCGGCAGGGGGGAGCCGGCTGTGAGCCCGCGGCGTCTGGGCGGCGGGAAGGGCCCCGTAACCCGTTATCCGCCGGGAAACTTCTCCTCGGGATGGGCAAGGAGGGACTGCCCGCGGGGATGGAGTCCCGGGAGCGGTGGAATGGCTCTGCGCGCACCGGGACCGGGCGGTCGCTGCTATTGCAGGGTGTGTCAGAGCGGGTCAGAGGAGCGGGGACATTGCTGCGGAGGGTCCCCGCACCTGGGCCGGGCTGGGATGGGACCGTGCCCTTCTCGGACAGCGGGAGGGCGACAGCCGGGGAGCTCCGGGACAGCGGGCACACACGGTCGGGGCTTCCCCGCTGCGCTGGAGCCTGGTCAGCTCTGGAAAAGAGGTGGGGAAGCCAAAAGTTCACCCACTGGGAAGCCACATCCCGTTGCCAGCAGCAGCACAGTGCCGCTTGCATTGCTGATACTTCGTCTTGGCAAAGTAATTAAGAAACTATGCTTGTTATTATTCTTCATCCAGAGACCCTCTGACCCATCTTCATCCCTGTGACACAAATCTCTGTTCTGTCCCACCCAAAATGAAAGAGCAGCACAGAGATTAAAATCCATAGTTCAGAAAAGGCTCAAGGTGGGGCCCAAAGCAGTTTTCTGCATCTCAGAAGTCAGCAGCACCTATCAGACATCAGTTTGTAAATGCTGGCCTGGGAGAGAAACAATCGTGTCCTCCTTATTTGCAGAGGCAGCAGAGCCCAGCACAGAGCACTCCTGGCTGTGCGAGGAGCTCTCTTGGTGCAGGCAGTGGAACAATGCCAGCTGGCAGCAGCTGAGGATCTGGTTCCTCTTCTGTTCTATTTGTGCACGGACTGTGCTGGAACCTGCCAGTGATAGGTAGTAGCTGTCCCTGGCCTACAGCTGCCATCAGAGGCTTGGAGTGTGCCCAGCCTGCAGATCAAGCTTCCAGCGCCAGGATGACAACTGGGAAAGGAAGGTGGTAGGGAAAGATGATCCCCCACCAGCTCTGCCATGTAAGGTGTGGGCCCTGGGCTGTCCTTGCACTCAGCCTCCCTGTCTGAACCTGGGAGTGGTTATCTAAGCCAGGTCAGAAACCTTTGACACAGGACTGCTTTTAGAGCTAGGTCCGTGGGCATGGGAATCCTTCAGCATGAATAGGATACCAGAAGCAAGAAAAAGAGCACTTATTCTCCCTCGACCAGATTTTCAGCTGGCTTATTTCAACCCAGTCTTTTTTGGTTTTTCAGAACTGACACCACATTCAGCTGAAGGCCTAATCCATTTTGTTTCCAAAATTTAGGAGCTGTTCAAGACCTAGAGCCATACTCTGCAAAGCCTTTGGGCCTGCTTCATTCCTTTTACTTAGGCTCTTTTCCCACTTTTTATTTCCTTGGTAGTGGCTTTTTAAAAATGGGTATTATTATTATGGAAAGTTTCCCTGAATAGCACAAATTGATGGATTCTGCCTGAGCAGCTGCTCGATCTGCTTAATAATTCCTTCCCTTTCCCTGCTGGGCTGTCACTGCTGCTGCTGCTGCTGTTATGGCACTGATTTCAAGTTTGCCATCTTTGTGCCCAAGTGTGCACTGCACCTGAGCTCTGCTGTGGTCAGGAATGGCTGGAGAAGTCCAGGTGCCCCGTGGTTTGAGCAGAGTGCAGGGCTTAATGGTCACTGAAGGGCACAGTCCCCTTCAGCTGCAATGACTTGTGACCCAGCACAATGTTAGGAGGGATCAGACCAGAACTGTTACTATTCACATTTCTCTGGAAACTCCAGGGAGTTTGACAGTTTCTCCCAGGCACTTCAGAATTCCCCTTTGTTTTGGGAACAAAGTTTTTCCAGGGGACTGAGACAGACCCTGCATGAGCAGCAAAGCATTTACCTGCTCAGGGAGCTGCAGGACAAGTGGAGGTGACTACTCCAGCTGCTGATGGCCACAGCACAGCCTGGTGCTCCTTGCCTGGGGTGCCTTCCCTGCTCCAGTTGTTAGTGGCAGATGTTGATCACGCTGCTTCCTGCAGTTGTGGACAGCAGTAAGGCACCACAGTGTGGGAACTGCACAGTAACCTTGCCTGCAATGGAGCAGAGTGGAGCAGAACAATGGCTTGTTTCTCTTTGCAGGCACATCTTTTTCTATTCAGAGCTCACTAACCCCTCTGTCCCAGCTGCATTCCAGCCCAGAGATGTAATGTCTGCTAAATTGCAGGGAAATTACCAGAAAACTGCTACAGAACTTCTCAGGTCAGCTCAGCTCCAGAGGTAGCTGTTTTCAGGGAAGCAACTGATGCTCTAAAGTTAAAAGTTTGTTTATAAAAGCACATACAAAGTGTGCAAATACTTCCCATAGGCTCATCCCATAGTGTTTTGCAACTCTTGATCATTTGCACAGTAGAAATATGAAGCAATTAAAGCCTTTCATGTTTTCATCATGAACAGATCTGTCAAATTTCACAACTCCAATCCAAAATTGGACTAATTTTAAAATTAATATTGATAATTGCCTGTGCATGACTAAGCTTGAGTGGGTGCTTTTATGAGGGATTGAGAAATACTCGGTGTCTTTAGATGGAGGACTGATGTAACCCACCCTTTCCAGAGCACATAGGGTGAGCAGCACTGGGACAACGGATAGTGTAGGGACTCACCACAACAGGGAACTCCTGCTTTGTTTTCAGTAAAAAGCATCCTGGGTTATGGATGCCTCAGAGCTGAGTGTCATTTCATTGGGTATGTTCCCACTGATAAGGGATCAATACAACTTTTCAAAAATTTAAAGAAAGAGACAGAAGCAGGAAAATTCTCTATCCTGGGGCAGATAGAGACCACCTGGTTCAGCCTGGGGCACACCAGAGGCAAGAGTTCTGAGGTTGTCTCCACACAGATCTCCAAGGGACTGCAAGGAGGCAGAGCTGGAGTAGTGATGGGAGAGTTACCACCAACTCCAGGTGAATCAGGCATGACTTTGGGGGCTCTCAGAAAGCTCGAAAAACATTTTTGTTATTTAGAGCAGACATTCAAAAACTCTGCTGGTGAATTGGGGAACTGTGGGAAAGGTTGTGCCTGTCTCCAAGAGCTCTGCACTACTCACTTGTTCTCATTCTGTCTTAGGCTGAGTCCAGTGTGGTTCATAGCCTGAAGAAAACCCATCAGTGGTGATGCTGCAGGAGAGGTCTCACGTGGGGCCCTCGATTGGAAGGGCAGCTCTGCACTTCTGTAGCTGATGGGAGAGGACAACAGCTTGGTAACAGGAGCTACCAAGTGCTGGCAGGATGAGTTACAGCTCACCCTCTGTGCATGACTTGCATCACAGCACCCCCACCACGGCCAAGCCAGACCCAGGGACAGCTCTGGATGTGACTGTACCACAAACAGCCACCTTAAGCCCTGAAACTACCAGTTTCAACAGCACCAAAATCCCAGATATGGCCAGCACTGGACCTGGCATGAACACCATGCTGCTTTCCTTTGGGATCATTACTGTGATTGGGTTGGTTGTAGCAATGGTAAGAGAGCCCAGCTAAACATTTCTGTCTCTTGAGGGTGGAGGGTGGCTAGATGTTCTAGGACTGATTTGCACTGAATAATTTATTTGCATTCTATTAAAGTCTCACCCAAAACTGCTGGGAACTGATAGTTCCTGCGATTCCTTTCTTTTTAAGGCTTTTATCAAGTGCTTCAGTATTTTTGCAGTCTCCCTGAGGTCTGGTCGAAATGGGATGCTCAGCAGGCCTAGGAGCAGCCATATGTAGTATCAGTATTTGTTTTTAATAGCAATAGTAAGTTCAGTTAAAAGGAAAAAAAGCAGATTCTGTTCTGACTTGTTACCTGGAACAGCTGCATTGATTTAAACCTTCTTTTGGGCCCCAAAAGAAAGTTCATCCATATTAACTTTTCAAGCAGACTGTTGAAACCATGTTAGTCCCTGCTGTGGACATGGGGTAATTCTTT